TATACGGGGGGGGGGGGAGGAGGTGGGGGGTGGGGGGGGGGGGGGGGTCACCTGGGTACCCAAGGACGTCATGGTTAGCGTGCCGGCGCTCGTCGACCTCCAGGACGCACATCTCCGGTCGGTTCACTGGAGGGGCAGCAAATAAAAAACAAGAGAACAGGTGCAATCAAAACACGTGAAGCAACAGTCACCTTCGTCAGAGCATACCAACGCGAGAGCTATTATAATACACATTGCCTATGGCCGTACGCAGAAATTGACTCAGCGTATGTGTCAAGTATCGTTTCGCGCATAAAGTGAGGACGCGAAAAAAAACGAGGAACTTCGTTCAAGACGCAACTGGAACGCGCGAAAATTGTCAAACCGTAGCTCATCCCCCACGAACCATTGACAAAGGTCGCCGTGTGGAGGGATAACCACCTGAGCGCCCAGCGGGCACGACACAGACATCACACCGCCCATCAACGAACAACACACACCAGCACACTACAACGCTCGTCATGTCCACGCAAAAACTGTCGTCAGGTACTGTAACCCCCGCCGCCACACCTGACTCGAGGCATGAAGGTATCTGCCAACGCGGCACAAGAGGCACGACCAAGTGCCTCAACGCCGCCACCAGCATCGCCGGGGGAGGGTTTCCCTTGATGGCGGGCGCCAGCAAGACCTGACCCTTGAACCGAGGGAGCAAGGAGTGCTGGAGACGCAACGCGAGGGAGGGGAGACAGCAAGCGTACGGCCGCAAGGCAAAAGCACAGGGTTGAGGTTACAATGACGAAGACCGGGGGAGGGGGGGCGGGGCGTTTCGTCCGATCGTAGGTGTATGGATCGCCTTATGCGTTTCGTCTTTACACCTTCCGGTGTGTATGTTTTCTGTACACATCAACCGGGACCACGCCGAAAAAAAAAAAAAAGGCTTGCAGTAGTCAGCCCCCGAGAGAAGAGGCAAAGTAACCGCCATTGTGTAATGGTCTCCTGTACGTCATCGATGGATCGGGCGGCAAGCGACACCCAAACGCAAGCGTCACATTCCCGTGGCCGAAAAACAACGCCAAAAGATGACGGCATGTCCAAAGAACGCGTCATCCTGCAACCTTCTCGAAAGAAGAACGACTGATGGACACCACGTTCCATGTCAACAGCTATCATCGAAGAAAGCGCGAAAAACTGGTTTCACTACCGATAAACCCACATCGCGCCGTGGGAAGCACGGCATCTGCGCACCACCGCACTTCCTATGAAGCCGCTGGCAAAGGGCTTGCCAGCTCTCAGGCGTGTCTCGAAGGCCAACAACGAAGTGGATCAAACGAGCATTTGATGAGTTCACGAAGTACGCAGGGCTTAAGCACAGCAGTACGAAAAGCAACTGCCGATAGGGAGGTCGCGAATAGCCCACGTGCACGCCCCTTGTTTTGTAGAAGACACAGGCAACATCCACAAAATATATTACACGAGGACCAACAAGAGCAAGAAGAAGAGCACCTCTGAGCAAAAAAAACACAAACGGAACATCCTCCGCGACAACAACACCATTAACTATCAGACACTCACGTTGGACTCATGGAGGGACAGGCCCAGGAGGATGCTCAGCGCACCGCCAAGCGACTCTCCGGCAACAAAAAACGGCACCTGACGGTAGCAAAACAACGAAGAGCGTGAGGACGAAGAAAGACTAGCCCATCCACAAACAGAGACATCCACCCGGCTTGCAGATCTTCGAGAAAGCGAACAACTTGGGGTTGGAGGTGCAGTTGGGGTTCGCGGACATCAAAGTCCAGCAGACAAAAAAAAAACGCAACACGCAACAAGGACCATCTCCATAGAGGTGATCAGCATTTATCGGCCTCTCAAATCGCGGTGAGTGCATATGCACCGACAGCCAATCCAAACCATCTCTGATCTGCTCCCTGCAATCAGAGGCAAAAAAACAAACTACTCTTACCCACAAACATCTATGAAGAACATGCCACGCTTGACAAAATCATACCAAAATACATACAACAACACCGCCAAAACCTATACCTGCCCAGAAGGTTCACTCTCTAATGTACATCGCACCCACACACCTCTTGGAGTCGTTTCCGTTGGGCCGCCGTGGCCGTCAAAACATGCGGCACGACCCCCGCCGCTTCGTCTCCAGCTCGCGATGGGCCGCCGCGTGAGGTGTCTATTCTATCCCCCGCCACGAGCTCTAGCAACTGTCCATTTCCGGGCAGACAAAAGGAGGCACGTAATTGCTCATTAGTTGTCAAGCGATACAAAGCGCGACCACGTGCCCTGCGGTAACCGCTGTGGTTCGGTGCCCACGTGCGGCTTCGCAACAACGTCAAAATGTGCAACAAAAACACACACACAAAGAAAGTCACGTAACGCCTGATTGAGTTGCTCCACTCTTATCGAAATATGTCTGTCACTGGGCCTAGGCTGTTGACAAATTTGTCCAAGGCGAGCACCTTCAAGGTCTGCTTGTCTACCGGTCAAGCTGGAGCGTAGTCACAACTACAAGGGTACACGATCCGAAGACACAAGTCTGCAGCCGGACGAGCGAAACACCGTTTCCCTCTCTTACAAAGCCACGAAAGCGTTTTGGTACTCGTATCCTTTCCTGAAGACGAGTCGATGCCAGCGGCGCCGCCTGGGTGACACCTACCCATGCCTCAGAAGCATAGCCGTAGCTTTCAACAGCGCCCTGAGGAAGGGCAAGCCAACCCTCGTGCGTGCCGAGACGTTCAGCGGAAAACGGCTCGCCACTCAAGACGCTGGCGTTTCCATGTTTAGAAAGGCCAGCCCTGGGATCGACGGGGTCTTCGTCAACATGAGGAACACGCAGTTCTTGGGTGGCGAGCCTTTTCCGCTGAACGTCTCGGTACGCTCGAGGTATCAGGGCGCTACCTAGTGATAGCTCCAGCTGGGCTTCTCAGCGTGCCCCGCCACCCACGCTGCTCGCCGGACTCCACCCGACCGGGAACTATTCTGAACCGAATACGTCATCCTTCATGCGACCTTCACGACGCGGTCCAACGAATGCTGAGATGATGCCCGAAGAGCCTACGGCGCACAACGACTACGCACAACAACAGGTGATTTCTCGCCTCACCGCCGCTAGGTTCGGGGAAAGAATGGCAGTGGTGATGGATGCGATGGTCAACAAAAACACGAACCAAGAACGAAAACCAAACGAGTTAACACCCCGCCCTGCCGACCCTCTCGTCACCTGCCGGTAGTCGTCCACCCAGTGGTTGTAGTCCTCGATGTACGCGCGCTCACCCCCGGAGTAGCCGTGCCCCTCCAGGTCCATCTGGTACATGCACAGCCCCTTCTCCGGCATGGACATGCCCATCTGGTGCTTTCGAGGGGAATTGCAGTGCGCGCCATAGCTGCGAAAGAGGAGGCGGGGATCGGGGGTAAGGGGGTGCGAGTGGGCCCGAAATCTTGCAGAAATATCTCAGGACGACGTCCGTCTACGGGAAGTCTCAGCGACTCGTCGGAACTTTTTTTGCAGCGGTGGATCACATCCACGCCTTGCCAGGAACACTAAGCGAGATGGTTGACTCTGAGTCTGACGGCGCCAATAAACACGGGTTGCAAGCAAGCCTCGTGAGCGTGAGGTCAGATCTACGACGGTACTTCCGCTCAAGCGAGCTCAGGAAGGAACCACGCCCGGTTTGGGGTGGATGTGACAGCACACGTCCTGGCGCAACACTGCCGGCTTAACAGCAGAAACAGCAGCCGCAATGTTATTTCTGCACGCGTTGCTTATCGCTGCATGTGCTTATCTGGGAGCACGAGGCACCCATGAGGCGGTTGGAGTTGTAGCTTTCCCAATGTTGACCTATGCATACAATGTAGAAACCAAAAATGCATTGCGTGCTCATTCCCTATACCACATTGTACGCCTACAGAGGTGCAACGCACTACATGAAACATATTCACGCGCGTACACTTACTATTCGAGCGTTACAAGAGCGAGCTTGTATCCCCATCTCAAAATCCACGTACACAATATATCAAACAATGAACTTCGATCGTGCGGTCTGCGCGGTAACGCGGGGGCATGTTGAAACAATAGAGCCGTTTCCTCCCGAGTAGGAAAATATGGCTCTTAACAGACGTACGTACGTGCACTCACACAGTCTCTTCAAGGTTGCTTTCTGTCCATTGAGTATAGGGTCACCCGGAACTGTTTTCGTCTATCATTGGATATCACAACAGCGGCGGGCCTCTAGCCTCAATCGAAACAAGCCGCTTTTACGTTTCGCTGCTGCTGCAGATGATGAACGAGAGGAGCGCACTCAAGCTGGCTCCCCTTCCTCAGTAGAACACCAGTAGAACAATGGCAGTGCTGTTGAGCCGCAGGGTTCAACCCAGGCGACCCTAGAAGAGCGCAACAATTCGTAACCACTGTACCCTGTGGTTCCTCACTTAGCGTACATGTACATGATAAAAAACGATAAGAAGACGCAGTTGGAGTGAAGAACAACGCAGCAACCTCCACATACCGCCGCTGTCATACAATACACGTGTTCGTTTTCAATCAGTCTCCCACAGGAAAAATACCAGAAAAAACGACATTCGCATATATTGCGCGAGGACGCCGAGCCGGTCGTCTGACCATGCCCGTGGCCTGCAGATGGCACGTGCACGAGCTCTCACCCGTGGGAGAAGAGCACAACGGCCTTGATCTCATCGGCAGACTGCGGCAGGTACGATCTGAAGTGGATGACGCGCCCTCGCTCATTGATGAAGTACTCCTCGCTCTGTGTCCCGCGCGCGAAAAAAACACAACCATCGGCATCAACACAAAAATAATGAACCGAACAAGGTGGGCAGGGGAAAGAGTCAGGGGAAGGTATCTGTCGCTGGTCGACATCGCCGGCGAGATTCCTCTCTTGCCCCCGGCGTTTCCTCCGGGTTGGAGAGGACGGCACCGCCGGGAATGTGAGTGATGATTGCCGACGAGGGAGAGACGACGGCGACGCATTTTTTTTGCGCCATCATCGCGGTGGTCTGCGGCGAGGCACGTTGAACCTCGCCCGCGATGTATCGACGACACCCCCAGCTACGAGAAGCACGTCCAAACAGCCACTGACCTGTGGAAGGTTGTTGAGGCGCACTAACGGCTGTTGGGGTGCAGGAGACACCGGTTTGTTGAAGCCCGCCCCCGTCTGCTCGCGTGGGCGGAACATCGTCAGCAAGCGGGACACGGCGGCCCAGACCAACGACGCCAGGAAGTGCAGAGGAACGCCCATGTACGACACCGCCAGGCTCTTCATCTCGTTGGATTTGCCATTCACATCCCCAGCAGTGGTCTTCGCTCCCATTTCTCGTTTTTCTAGTGTAGCTGACCTCGGCCACACGGCCCGTGTTCTCAATCTACTCCGTATCTGCTACTGCTGTAGTCCTCGGTGCAACGTGAAAATGCGACTGAAAAGATGAGGCACATCGACTTCCAGGAAAATTGCTGGATTGCATGTAGGCGTTTCGGTTTGGTTCGAAAAAAAAACAAACGAACTCAAACTTTAAATTACATGTAATTACTCCTGCCTGTAAAGAGAACAGCGTCGTAACTTCGTGCGCTGGTTCAGACTGCTGAGTGTCTGTGGTGTTGCGCACGCCTCTGGGACGCTGGGCTGGATTGTCTCTTGCGGTATGTGTTACGTTGGCAAAAAGTGCACAACCGCTTCTCTATCATTTATGTGTACCGCGTTTTGCGTGACAGAAGATACCACACCCCCTACGTAGATCCATTTTCAAAGCCTGATATTGCTCGACGGCGAATTGAACAAAAACAACAAACGACGTGCGATCGGATAGCTTTCGACGAGATGGTCCCAACGCCGCCATTTAGTGCACCACTCTCTCTGTTGTGGAGTAATCTAGCTTTGAAAACCAGTCCACCTGAAACAACCACTCTTTCTATGGATATTTACACAGGACGCCACGAAAACATGAACGAACAATGCCCATGCGTGTTCGGATCCTTCGTACGGGTTTGTGTGCTCCAAGTCACAAGGGAGCAAAACGTAACAGTTACTAAATGGTACGTGGGCGGTGCCCAAAGTCAATGTGCTGCTCTCGTCTGGTCTCTGCACTACATGGCGTGAAGCTCTCAATATCATCGTCGGCGAGATGAACGGCACCCGGATGTTGTAAACGGGCTCATGGAGCTTCGGTACTTGGGTAACAACTACCTGCGAGTTGACCCGGTTGTCAATGGCTGATTCAAGGAAGGTACACACAACGAACACCGTCCAATCCCTGCAACACTAAACCAACAGGAACGGAAATGCTCCGAGGTGCCCCCGGGATGGAGGTGTGGCAGTAGAGGTCCCTGTTTAGTGCCGGGGTGTGCGCCGAAATTTCACCGGCACTACACCGAACACCGGCACTATTCATTCAAAGTACAGAACGACTTGGTATTCCAGTGTGTGCGAGCCGAAAACATCGGCACTATACCGGCAACTGGCACTATTCAACCGGCACTCAACAGGGACCTCTACTGTATTGTGATCGACTTGCAACGGCTCCTTCAGTGACCTGGTACTGCGAACGAGAATCAACATACGTATGTGCCGCTTCCCTGAAAATCGCCCACCACGCCAATCTTCCGGCACCTCCATGTGGGGGATCGTCACGTTGATTCTCCCCCACGAGCAACACAACACACCGTGTTCGAGCCAAGAACGACAAAAATGTGCTCTCTGCAATATCAGTGTTGTCTCGCCTGTGCCAGCGCGTTCTACTGCACCCGGAAAAGGATGAATTCGCTTGATGCTTAGAAAGAAGTGGTGCTTCAGACATCAAATTACATATTCAAGCCTAAACCGTCCCGGAGTTGTTGACAGTGGTTCCAGTTGCACCCCAACACCTGTAACCTAGCATATGTACGTTTAAAAAATAAGGTTCTCTAAACGACCAAAGGGCGCTGCGGGCGAAGACGCGAATTCCCTACGAGTTGCGCTTTAGGGGTCCAGGGGCTGCTGAAGGGTAGACCCAAAGCGCTCGACGTACTTCTTCTGCTCCGCCGACATCCTGTCGTTCGGCGCGCGTAAAATTGGCACATTGTGAGTTCAACGCGGTTGGGATAAGATGGGATAGTGGACGGGGCACAGCAGTGGTGTCGCGGAAGGGGCAGGGGGTTCCGCGACACTTGTCCCATCACAATGCCAAAAAAACGCAGCCGCCCACCTGTGAGCCAGCGCACTACCACGGACCCCGCTTCCCCAGTCCCTTTTGAAAACAAGCTCCGGCGACGACACAGGCGCAGGCGGTCGCTCGACAGGTGCGGCGGTGGTGGGGGCAGGGGAAGGGGCAGGGGCAGGGGCGGGGGCGGGGGCCGGTGCTGCTTCAGGCGCCGGCGGCGCTTCCTTCTTGGCGGCGGGTGCTGGCGCTGCCTCCTCGGGGTTGGGCGCGGCTTCCGCGGCCGGTGCGGCTGCCTCTGGTTCTCCCTGCACCGCTTCCGCCTCGAAGTCCTTGAAGGCCGCCACGGAGTCGGCGTCGTCTACGGTAACGAAGATCGGGGTCCCGACGGCGATGTCCTGGGTGCCGGCCTCGACCAGGTGCTTCGCCATGAAGGAGTCGTCTTGCGCGTCGAAATCTACGGTCTGAAGAGTGAAACCAACGGCACAAGAAAATCAGTCAACAAAAAAGTTCAGCACGCGGGAGGAAGGAAATGGTGTCGACTCGTAAAGGCATCTTGCCAACCAGCAACTATTTCTCCCTATCCTCTCGGCAGGTTCACCGCTACCGGTGGCCGTGCAAAACGAACGGCTCTTCTTGGTGTGCTCCACACAGGCGCCGAACAGCACCCCGCATGAAAAGCTGAGCGTGTTTGAAGCAGTGTTTCTCGAAATGGCACTGAAGGTGCGTGTCTACCTTACAAGACCGTGTCTGAGCTGTAGAGCGGCGACAGATGCTGTACTGTGCATGCTATCACGTATCTTCGAACTCCTAGGCGAAATTGCCCAGCGTTCAACCTCGAAGCACAAACGGGAAGTAAAGCACGCGAATAAAAAAAAACGCCAAGAAAAGCAGACGATTGTGTCTGAAACGCAGCAGAGTCTTTCGAGCGAGTGCAGCGGTGTCGATTCATCGCGTCACACCCTTATCCTAACTAAACCTGCCCATTGGCGATGCAATGCATGGCGAAAAGCCGTAGCTCGCATACCTCGAAACAAAAAACGCAGGGTCCGAGTGCGTAAAACAACGCCGATATTTTCTCGGTATGCATGAATGAGATTCCAGAATACTCGAGTCTCACCGCCTTGTCCGTTTCAACCTCGCATACAACGTCTCCCGCCGCGATTTCGTCCCCTTCCTGCTTGCCCCAAGAACCGATGTTACCGTGTGTCATCGTCGGCGAGAGCGCTGCGTAGTTTGGCGGTGAACCGAGACGCAGAAAGATGCAGCAAGCAGACAATGTGTAAATGCACTGAGGCATACAATATTGCACTTTTAATAGACAGAGATTGAGAGAGATAGGCCAGCTAGGGCAGCAGTCACATCCTGGGAAAAGGCAGAGGTAGTGTGCTGTGTACTGCTGGGGTGCCTATGGCAATTTGTATCTCGCCCTTCCGATTTCCTTTTCGCAATTCTGCGTGAACCTCCTTCCAGCCACTCTACTCTGTGCGGTTGAGCCGGGATCACACGCGCGCCTCTGCGCGTTTGCGATGTCAATTATCTTCCTTTCGTAACAGAAAATGGGCATTCCCGGAAGTCGCCATCAATAGCTCAGCAAAAAATGAAGTATAATACAGCAGTGCGTGTCGGTTTTCGGTTTCACAAGAGACCTACATTCGGAGACAAGGGCTGCGGGGGGGCGCGGCGGCCCGATTGTAGTGCCATGGAGTTGGCTCGCTATACTGCGGGCACACATTCCTTTTGGGGCGAGGTGCTTCATTGAGGCAGAGGTCATAGACTAAGCCGAGCCTTGCAGCCACTACAACAGTGGTCGCCGTTGTGTTGGCGTGACTGCTGTGCGTGAAGTATGATAACGGCCGGGACGTGTAGAGCAGCAGGATATATGCGGCTAGTCGGGAAATCCGGTCCCAAAGACCAACTGATGCTGTACAGTTCTTTTCCGTGTGCAAATTCCTTTCAGCTCGAACACATACCACGGTGAGTACTAAACATGTACCAGGTACATGTAGTAACAGGAGACACAAGTGCAGAGCTGCATAGACCGTCGTGGAAGGAAGGTTGTGGCACATGTCTGGAGAATGGTCATGAAAAAGCGAAAACACGTTTTGGTTTGGCTGTTGTCATCAATTTGGAGCAGTGTGGCCGCAACCTGATCCAATAGGTTTTGCAGACGAAGCAAGAAGAGATGTCCGATCTATGCGCCAAAAGAGACTTGTACTAAACCAGTCGTTTGGTGTTGTCGGCGGTTGGCGTATGCAGATAACGCAGAACTTCTGGGTAAGGGAGGTGGCACTGATTGGCGACGGTTCGCAGGTGCACGAGAAACGACAGCACGATTATTGTATTTAGTATCACACCAAGGCTGTTAGACCGCCTTGGTTGCGCCTTGCAGCAGGTTGCCAACAACACAAACGCTGGCGAAGTGACCGATATGATGACTTATGAGCTCTCAAGATGCCTGCCCTTGGAGGTGGTGGATTAGAACCAAAATGACCGTGACACCACTGCATGTCTGCTGTGCATACCTGGCATGCCCACTACGATGTGATCGGGCAGGGATGATAAGCTTCTCCTCTTCACCACTAGTTCAGCACTCCGCCTACTCGCTGCTTGTCTCGTTCCTTGACATTGTGTTGCCAGGACCCTTGCAGCGAATGTGGATGTTCTTCGGCAGGCTATCATGTTGTGTGAGAGACACTACTGCGCAGACGAGCGATGTGGAGCGACACTTGACATCATCGCGAGCAACATCTAGGCCGCTAGGGGCGCCGTGGAATCGAACACATACCCTGGAACCAGGACTCCACCAAGCGACTAGAGACGGCACACACGAGTTGTGCCTCGACCACAAGCAACCTCGCCACGCCTTGAGAGGTTGCAACTGTCATGAATCGTTACCAGAAGCTCCTCGGCCCTATTTTATTGGGTTTGTGCACTTGGGGAGTGGTCCTGGGGTACTGTGCAAAGCAAGGAGAATGCAGGCAGCCGATGCTAGATGTCATCAAAGTGGTGAGCAATCTTAATCTTCCTATTACGCCGCTCCCAATAACACGCTGGCAGAGGATCTGTGCGCGACAGCTAGATAGTCTATACTTCCGAAATAGTGGTAGCGTAGAGGCAAACAGTAGTAGATTACTACATATAGAGCAGGATGCCAATTGTTGTATCCGCGCGCCATGCGCTACTCTGGACTTTTGTCTGGCTTCTCCAATATGTCGGTGTAGCCGTTATCGGATACTCTACTCTTGTACGTTCCCCCGTCTGCCTGTCCCGTGCTACGCTGAATCGGAGCCTGTTGAGCAGTGTTTCTACAAATCGGTTTGACATATCTCGGTCACACAGCAGAATGACTCATTCGATTGATATCCCCGTAGGCCCTTCTGACTCTAGGTTGTGTGTTCGAATAAACACTCGTTAGAAAACATGTAGACGTGAAAAGCTCGTAGCATGCGTTCATCTACAGCAGCGGCACAAGGCACACAACAGAGCGATGCGATTGCAATCCCATGCCGCCAACAAATAAAGCCGAACACCGCAGGGGGTAGATTCTTCCTCCTTTGTGACCGTGGCTGGTGCGTCAAACATATTCCCAACAGGCTACACTGCCTAGAAATGTCGGAGGACGAACGACAACGAAATCTCAAACAGCAGTTGCCGCCCGTGTCTTCTGTCTTTCGTGCCAACCGATCTAAGCTGTGGTCGCGGACTAACCCCAATTGTGACTAGACGTACTGTGTTTCACTTGCCGCCGCCCCCTTTCGTGGTCTCGATGTGTGCCCCATTCCTACCTACGAACGTAGCTCCTGCTCAGTACTCTGTAGGATGTTGAATTTTATTTGTACTGGGTTACCAGAGGCTCGTCGATGCGATTTCCGGGTATGGAAGTCCGATAACGGATGCCGGTAATCGCGGACAATAATGTTGACTCATACACGTGCTTGCACACGCACAAAAATCGTCGGTGCGCTCTTGACACGTAAGCGAGTATTCCCCTGCAGTATAGGCACCCACCCCCTGTGGCAAATCTGGAAGGAAAAAAGGTCCTTCCACGACGTCGGACTGACTATTGCGCCATCCCCTGCCACTTTGTTTGCCGCACGCAACGCCAACACATCTTGGAAACGTTAAATTTATACCATATGCACCAGCCTTTGGATGCATCGAGTGCTCCTGGCCATGTACGCATTTGGATGCAGGCTGTAAATTCTTAGTTGTCGAGTCATGCTGGCTAAACACGCCAAGAGTCAGGTGTGATGATGCTGAATATGTTTGCATACCATACGAGGCGAAGAGATGGCACCCCCCCTAGATCGACTTTCGAAGCTCATTTGCTCCAAAACCAAGGCGGTTCAGATAGAGGCCGATACGTCGACCGAAAACCCTCGATGAGATTGGTCCAAAACGACAATTTCGGTGTTGACACAAGGTTGGTTGTGAAGCTATCGAGGTTTTGAAAATCGGCCTAGTCGGGGTGCCGCCACTTCTGCGCCCTTGTACACACCCTCGTGTGTACCTCAGTTTTGATTGCCAACTTTGACCGGCTCTGTCCCCGACCCCCCGCTGCCCCGTTCGTGCGGAACATGGGGCTTGCTCTCAATCGAAACACGGAATGTGCAAGCTGCCCATGTACAACTTGATCGTATTTGGCTGCTACGCGCTGGCGAAAATCGGACTAGGGTTGATTGCGTTCAAGGACTGTTCCGAGGATGCTGCGCTCCTTGATGAGGTGAGCGCATACTGTACCTCGTGGATTCGTTGGGCATATCTACGATGCCCATGTCTTCTCCGTGCTACCATTGTATCGTGCGTTGGTTTGTGGACCCTTTCACAATTTTGTTCTAGGTATTCTTATACCTTCGAGATCATAGGTCTTTACAGAATGATGGAGGTAATACGAAGTATTTTCCTCGTTGTCGTTCTTATTTTGAAGAGGTTTCGCAGTTTATGGTAGCTTTGCCTGCTCTAGACTTCTATGCCGGTCTGGCGGTCCCTCTATCCCGGAAGGGAAATAGCTCCCGTGGGTGCCTCATTGTGTCTACCTTTGTGAAATGTTCATACTTCCGCGCCCCCGTGTTCCCGCACTTGCCTCTCTTGTCGTGATCGCCCCATTGTCTGTGTTTGTTTCCGCAGGACATCCAGGCTGCGAAAAAAGATCTCACGAAACGTGGCTTCAAGTTTTCATAAGCGAAACTCGTTGCTACCCTCTGACACCCCTTGCCATTTGTGCGGAAGGGCCCCTGCCAATTGGTTGGTTCCGTCACGCCGTCCTTGTTATATTAGAGAAGACGATGTGCATCGCGTTTGACCGGACTTGTTCGTTTCCGTTTCCGTGTTTCGAGATGGTCGCTTAGAAATATAATTTGGTCGCTCTCTTACCAGGGTAGCGTGTTGTTGCTGTTAATGCTGTACCTGTACGTAGAATTTATGTATTCGGCAAGCCGTTTGTCGCGAATAGTTTTGAGTTGAGGAGGGTATACGTGGCGCTGTAGAAGACATAGCTTGGGTGCCGTGGAAGAGACATGTTGGAAATCTGTAGCATTGGGAGTTGAAAAATAACCGGACCATGGGATAGTACGTTTTTGCCAACGGCACCCTTCTCAGGTGCAAAACATCGGCAGGATGGCGTGCGTTTGCGTGGTGTATCGTACAGGCCACATGCCCACTGCGTGTCCGTGTGATGGCATGAATGGCTCCTTCTCTGCCGAACGCTTTCCACATTCAAATCTCTAATACGATGTCGATACAGCTTGCCGACGACATTCGATTTTGAACAGTTGTATCGATGTCCATTGCCCCGAAAAATCATATTGCAGATGGTCTACATCCATGTACAACAGTATTTGTCCAGTCACGGTTCATGTGTCCATATGTCATAACTTTCGAAAGAAATGGAGTTGGTCAGAAATTAAGCCAACATCAAGGCGAACAATAAAGAAAGGTCTGAAGCAAAAAATTGGACTCTCCCCGCTAAGAGCTGGGTAGCTGGGGTAGCGCGTCCAACGAGACACGTCCCACTGCCCCTTCTGTGCTCCCACCCCATTGCCTGGGGGGCGATTATTTTCGCGGCGCTCGCCGCGCCCCAGCGACAACAACCTGGAAGGTGACTTATTGGACGTTGACTACACAACCCAAGTCTAATGCATTCTGAAGCTTTACCTTCAGTCTCATTGTTCGACACCCCTGGGTAGCACATTTATGTGTGTAGTTGTGCGTAGTGCGTGCAAAGCTATGCGCATCTCCCACGACACGCAAAAAAATGTACGTCAATCATGATGTTATTTCTTGTGACTACAAAGCTATCGACGAGAGACAGTTCCAACCCCGCCATTTTCGGCCCCGCCATTCCTTCTGCCGTGGAAATCGAGCTTTGAACATCTGTTCAGGGGGTGTCATGTCTTACGTAACCTACGGTATGCAGAACGCTTTTTTTTCGTGCTCGCTGCCTGCGCTCTCGACCTATGAAAGCTATAAAAAACTGGAAAGCTTCAGACAGGCAACGCAACGCGATGATATACTCGTCGAGTTGCTATCACAATGCAGTAAGCACCAGGCAGCAAAACGAGATTGATTGCATTCCAAAGGAGAACCAGCCGGGATGCGACAGCGGCAGCCCACTAAGAAATCCGTTTAAAGAAAATGGACAACTTCGGCCAACTTCGGCTGGTGCTTCGAACCAAAATAAAGGAAGCAGGATTGGCAGGATCGTTTGACGTTTATCTCAGGACCCGTTCGGTATGTCGTCTGGTCCTGCCGCTGCTGCCTCCACCGCTGCTATGCCGAACATTGAATATCGGTGCGAGCGTGGAAGTACCATCATTCTGCCGACCACTACCATCGCTCATGAACACGAGAGGAAGCGCGGGTTTTATATAGTGTTGTGCATTGTGCATGAGATTTCTCGATACAGTAATTCAAGATGTGGCACTGGGGGCTCGGAACGTGTACCCCCCTCATCCATCCGGGGGAGCCGTGGATCATTTCCAGTTGCACAGCGCTAGCAGACAGCAGACAGCAGACACACACGCTGCCCGTTAGCCGCCTACTTTCGCCCACAAGGTTGTGCTTCAAATTTAAGCGTAAGCCTGCATTACTTGCAAGGACGAGCGCTTCGTATTTTCAACCACCAGCTAATTTCGGGGTGTGTGGAGGGTCACACACACAGTAAACGCGGCGGGTTTTCTAACGGAGAACGCTCCACACGGAAGCAGGCAAGGGCAGCAGCATCATGTCTGCGTTCGGGCTGGGAGGAGGGCCAGGAGGCTTCGGGGGTATGGGCATGGGCATGGGGATGGGGGCGCCTCGCGGTTTCGAAGAGCAGTATCACTGCTACCCTGTCTCTTTTCAGGTGAACCAACAAAAATGACCGAGGTCGATCATTTGACGATGTCTGTGGAACATCGCGGCGTGGTCTACAGCAGTACATGTCGATGCCACTCATCGGGCGAGAAAAGTCCGTTGTTGGACCATCGTGACATTCCGGGTAGCGGCGTTGGGGTACCGCTGTGTAGAGTGCGGCAAGTGGCCTGGAGTACGGTGGTGCACTTTGCACGCTTCGTCTTTCGAATGGTGAGGTCGTTGCAGTGCTTTGAATACTTGCTGTGTCCAACGTCACAGCATTGTTACATCATCAACGTACACTACAACGTTGTAGGCTGCAGGGAAGAGGTGGCCTGTTGAAGGGTGCGACCATCATCCAGGCAACCGAGAAGACTCGCTTTCCACACTGCTTGCATCCGCACGGCCTCGTTTCACCTGCGGAGGATTGCAGTTTCACGTCGGAACACGCCCTTTTCTCGATGGCACCCCTGCTACTTGCACACATCTCGTGTGGGGCGGACCACAAGACTATCACATCAACGAGCCCGAAGGGTCACAGCCATATCGCTGTCTGTGACGAGAAGAGAGAAGTCCACTGGGTCTTCTTGGTGATACCAATATCCTCGTGCCTCATACTGCTGTATTGGCTTGTGTTTTCGCTTGTTCCTGGTGCGCTCTTTGCGGTGGGCAACCTGCCGCGGAGCAATATTTATATTTTGTTGAGGCGAGACTCCCGGGCATGCTTCGTGGCCGCGTTTTGGAGACGCATCAAGCTGAGAATACGAGATGAAACAAAACAGCAGGGATCAACAAGGAATGCTTTAAAATATCTTGCAACATCGCCTTCGATTTGCCTGTCAACTTCGAAAAGGCCGGCCGATAGGAGAAACGTATTAGGCATTTGTATCCGATCAGCGATCTTCATGTGTGGGCATTTTGTGAAAAAACTTGTGCTCGGGGGAATCTGGCAAGAAGGTTCGCAGACACGCCTTATCCCAGGCTGGAAGGGCACTCAATATATACATCATTAGATGTGCTAACACTGCTGTAGATCGTAGATTTGTCTACCCCGACGAAACTTGTAATTTTGGGGTGGTCGCCTGCTGGTACGGGTTGTTGGTCTTGTTGCACTGCCGACACCGCAAGACGCGTATGTCAGTTTCACGTTCGTACAGCAGTTTCCGCCTTCGTACTCTCCTGAATGCCAGGCACGCCAACTACAACTTTTACCTTCATCCCACTCGCACTCCTGCTCTTGTCTTTTGTGTTCCCGTGCATGGCACAACATGAGAGTACATGTGAGAATTTTTGGCGTTGTTCCCCGCGCACGAGAGTCTCATGCCTGCCTGCCTTTGTACGGTTGACAAATCCTACTTCACTACGCACCCGTTCCGGAAATATCTGGGCGCCGGAGTGCGTGTATCATCATGGTTCTGTCCTTTGTTCTCGGTGTGTTTTGGGGACAAATAATACTCCGAGGCGGGGAGATGCAAGGGGATTGCCCAATGAGCACACATTTTCATTGACACCAGTCCCGAAGCCTTGTTGCCCTCTACCAAAGCATTACAGTCCGGCAACATGGACACCGCCGTTGGCTGCTTTCGATCGGACTGCTGTTTGTTATTAATAGGAGTTTTGTACCATCTGAGGTGCGGTAGGGCTACCCTGGTGCTTAGGCTGCGATGGGCGCATCCCCCCAGAGCAACCTTGCACGCTAATCGCGCTTCCCGTTTTGAACACGGGGCGCATGTTCGCCTGCTTTGTTGACAACTCTCGGCTTCATTCAGGACAAGGAGCACCTGGAGGCCGGAGACAAGATTCTCCTCCCTTCCTCGGCCCTTGACGCGCTCGCGAGACAGCAGGTCGAGTACCCCATGCTCTTCGAGCTGTCGAACCCTTCCCAGGTGGGTAGCGTTTGTGTTGGACCACACCCCAGCTCATTGCTGGTTGGATACTCCATACACGTAGGCTAACGGGTAGTGCCTTGCCTGGACGCACGGCCCAATGCTGTTATGCAACTGTTTTGTGGGCGTCGTGCGGGCGTGCGGTTGGTCTTGGTGGTGTGCTTGGCACAGCGTAGGATCACGGCTTATGGTGGGTGGGTTTTGTGCGGCTGTGGCGGGAAGAGCTGCACAGTAGTCGTGTGTGTTTGTGTTCCTGCATCAACAAACTTCGCGCAGACCTCCTCCATCAATCACGGAGGGTGTGTTTTGAAGATCACGTCACTCCGGCGGCAGCCTCCACAAAACTTCGCCATTCTAAAGCGATATTTGAGGCGTTGCCAGGACAGCAGTGCTGTGCTCGCGTGCATGTACACAGTAGTAGCTCAAATGAAGGCAAGTAAGGGCACATTCGTCGTCGGATAGCGTAGAAATCGTGCACAGGTGCTTTTCGTCTTTGTTCGGATCTGTACCTGATGATGCCCCTCCACGTCGATTTGGTTATCGCCGGCATGGGCCCACGCCGCCGCGGCAGGGAAACCGGACCCACTGCGGTGTTCTCGAGTTCTCCGCCCCCGAGGGGAGCTGCTACATCCCTCACTGGATGATGCAGAACCTCTTGCTGGAGGCGGGCTCCCTGCTCACGGTGAAGAACGTTTCTCTGCCCAAGGTGCGGTGTGTGGAAGACAGCACTGCTACGGCTGGCGGTGCCTTTCGTTTTGTTTGTCTGCGTGGCGTGAAAGAGGACGGCCAATCGCAAGGAGCGAGGGGGGCCTTTTGCGTGTCTGAATGGAAAGAAGCGGCACTTGAATCGATTGTGTTGTCTACGGAAACCTTGGTTGTCGTTTTTCACTGTCCGCGGGGGAAGGCGAGGTGGCCAGGGGATCTCGGTTGGGCCCGATCGCTGTTCTTCTCCCTGGTCGAGTATTTCGCTGTCAACAGGGTCGTCGCCGCGGTGAAAACATGCCTGTTGTATTCACAGGGAGGAGGTATGTCGTCCAGGATGCAACTTGGGAGCGGTTCGGCTTCGTTCTCATTCCCAGCAACACGATTCAACATGTTCGGGTGCGGGTTGGTTGTTCGCTATGCAATTGTGGGCGCGCCTGCGTGTGTGTTTCGTAGGGCACCTTCGTGAAGTTTCAGCCGCAATCGGTGGACTTCTTGGAGATCAGCAACCCTCGCGCGGTCCTGGAGACCACGATGCGGCACTTCTCCTGCCTAACGGAGGGCGACGTCATCTGCCTGCCGTACAACGATCGGGTGGGTGTCTTTTTTTTTTTTTTTCGCTCGTCGTGTGTCCTGCGGCATCTGGTTTTTCTTTCGCGGTGCAAGATTAGATGCGCGACTGGGAGACACGTTTGAGACGCTACGGGTAGCAGCCAGACTTACCATCTTAATTCATTAGCGCCGTGATGTGGGGCGGGAGCTCGGCGAGGCGGCCTTCAGCTAGCAGGTCCAAGTGTTGGTCGATGACGTGCTGCATCTTGGCCAAGGTCGAGGACAGGTTGGTCATGTTGGTGACGCACCGACATGGATAAGATGGTAAGTCTGGCTGCTACCGGTAGCGTCTCAAACGTTTCTCTCAATCAATCTGTCGGAACCATGTCGTCTGTCCCCGCGTTGACGGAATCGTTCGCCGCGGCCTTGTCTAGTCAAGAACATGTCGTCTCACACTATCGGACGTCAAACAAATCCCCCGCCTGTCCGGCAAGGCCGAAAGTATTTGGTGTTACTCCCGCCCTTGGGCTTGGTTCGTGGGGTGACGTGTTTATTGACGGATCTCAGTGCTTTCGTATTGTTTCTTCTGTTCCCGCAGACGCAAGAGGTGGCCGATGGCACTGTTGTTAACGGGATTGTCCGAAGCCGACCGCTCACAATGCGTACGTTGTGCGGAAAATGGTAAAACAGTCGTGCGTTGGAGCTTTCGTGTGTGCATGAAACCTGGTCGCATTGGCTCGAGTGAAAGATAAAAATTCCGTCGGGCTAAGTGCTACATAAAACTTTCACGTGGCCGCAGCTGTAGACGAAAATGTTGTCGGGTTCAAAGGAAGGCAAGACTCGCCTTTTTCTCAGCCCTACTTTTATGCACGGTCACACAAGACTCGTTCTTCTCGCGTGCGCTGACAGGTAGTGGACTCCCTCAGACACCACCGCGACACCTCTTGTACATGTTTTGCCCGCACATCACCGGAAATCGGGCTTGAGGGGGGCTTGGCCAGTGGCGTCCTACGTTAAACTTATCATCTTTGGACACGCTACGCAGAGCTGCCGAAGAATTTTTGTGAACAATGTCGTGGGCATGACCCTTCCATCCAGTTATTATCGACCATGTGCTTTTCTTCAGATTCACAGGAGCGCGCTCGTATTGTATCTGTACCAACAATGGAACGTGCGATCGACGCTTCCCTTCTCCTACCACCACCGCTGCAACGTGTTCACTCTCGGCATCGCTGGTGTATTCCTCTCCCCGCCCCGCCCTTCTCCCCACTCCACTCCACCGCCGTCCGACACAGAACTACGAGTTGGCGGTGAAGGAGTTGAAACCGTCGAATGCGGTTGGCATCGTGGAGACGGACCTCAATGTCGACTTCGATGCCCCCGTGGGGTACGACGAGTCGCTGGCGGCTTCCAACGCGGCGGCGGCGGCGGCGGCGGCAGCAGGGACGGGAGGGGCGGTGGCTGGAAGCAGCAGCGGAGCCACAGGGGCGATCAACATTCCGGCCCCGGCATCAGGTGGGTCAGACATTCGCTTGTCTTGATGGGTCACTTCTGTGGCGTGTTGTTTGAGAACGTTTTTTGTGCCGTAGCGAGAGGAATCATGAGCCAGGTGGTTGCTGTGAGAAATGAGAACGGGGCGGCATTGCAGCTACCGGCGCGGGGCCGCGAATAATACGATAATGATCCGGGCGGTGCTGTTGGCGTGGGTACGTTTCTTTTTTTCTTAGGCTGTGCGTGTGCGCTGTTCGGGAGAGACTTCCAAGTTGCCGTGTACAAGCGTGGCTGATGAGTGGTTTTGAGCATTCACTGAGTTCGCTGAATATATTTCCCCACGCCGGGGCGTACTCACGATTCCTAACCACATGGCTACACACGTTTTTCAATGTATTTAATACCCCGCAACCTTGAATGCGAGCCATGTCCTGAGACAACCAAGCGTGGTAAAACGTGCCGTCGCTTTCCGGCAGGGAAAGCACCCAAGCCGGTCGACGAAGCGCCGAAGTTCGTTCCGTTCGGCGGGGGCGGGGCTAGGCTTGACGGGAAGAAGACGCCGGCCAAGGGAGCCGAGGAGGAGAAAGATGACAAGGCTGCTGGCGACGGTGCTCGTCGACCATGTGCGTGTCAGTCAGAAAAGCTTTTGGTTGCGTCGGCGTTTAGGGTGGTTTCACTTTGTGATAAGTGGGTGTACTCAAAGTGGTGCATGTCGTAGTCGTTAGACCATTGACCTCGCATCCCTTCAAAGCCAGGACGGAGCACGCCGGGTTCTCACCGGACCAGGCTCTCACATCACCAAGCGCGAAGCGCCGTGAGGTATTCGGCGAGTCGCATGGAGGGTGCGCTGCATCCTGCTAAGGGTGTTCGGCATCTTGTGCTTACTTCCTTGCGTACGGATGACAGCTGCGTATGACTTAATTTATTTTCTGGTGCTTTCAATTCCAGAGACAGTTATAAGCACTGTGTAACTTCCTCGAGGGTGCTTGACCAATTTAACACAACGTGGTGCGATCATCCCCCTTGCGCGGAGTGAGGGTTCTCGACCCCGCACAACATGATCTACTCGACCACCATTATGGTTACCGCCCAAAAAAAAAAGAATGGTAACCGGTTGCCGAGCTCACGAAGTGAATTGGCTTGTTTTACAACGTCGTTTCCAAGCGACGAAAACCCAACCCCGATGGCAAACACCGGGGGGGGGATAAGTGGGGGCGATATAAAGGCAGCGGAAGCCATCGCGTAGCGGCTGAGAGCGGAACACCTAAAGCAAATAGTACACGGGATTGTTTTTTGACACTACGCTGTTGTGACCCCCCCCCCCCCCTCGAATCTAAGGTTCACTGCTCCCGTCTGCACTTGTATTTTGTGTGTGCGTTTGTGTGGTTTGTTTCAGCGGCAGCTGCAGCGGCTGCGGAAGCCAGAGCAGCGGCGGCAGCAGCCAGCGGCGGAGGTGGGGCTGGGGCTGCACCAGCCAGACCACCTGTGGGTCTCAGGGCACCCGCAGGGAAATGGTCCAAGTCGAAGAAGCTGCAGGCTGGCGCCTTCCAGGGATCTGGGAACAAACTCGCCTAGATGTTCGTTGTTCCACGTACCCCGCAAGAAGCCGGGGGGGGGGTCTAGCTGTGTGTCCCATTTTTTGTCAGGGTCGATGAGAAACTGAGGGGGGTTCTGCGTCTCTTGGTTGTGTCGGGGGCACCGTAGAAATGGAACGGGAGGGGGGGCGTCCTTGCCGCTGGCGAGGAAAGAACACCCTCGGTTGGTGTATTTGTTGTTACCGGTTACCGCGACGGTACGTGCAAAGAGGAGGCACGGGTGGCAATCGGCGCATCCGTCTCTCTCTCTGTGGTGTGTAACCTCGGCGTGAACTGTCCCACTTCATTCCGCTCTGCGGCGTGAGCTCGTTGCCCTGTCGCCTAGCCGAGTCGGCTGCCGAGGTGTGAATCCCGAGCCTTTTTTCTGAGGTGCTCCCCAGACAGCACGCTGCCGGTGTATAGTACCTCGATGGCAATTGTTTATGATTTGTTGTTTCGATGTTGATGTGCAAAACCGAAAAAAAGAAATGCGCCGCCGTACGACCCAGCGGCACGAAGTTTTGATTGCTTTCCGACTCTTGACGCTCTCGATATACACCCATGGATGTCCTCTGCCAGCGCATCGTTAGCCACGTTTTTGCATTGTTTTTGTTTCCTCCTGGTTTCGGCGGTCGGGTGGGCGTGTTTCGTGTATCAGTGGTGGTGGCTGACCGCATAATTTCATGATCATCTGTTCTTGCATAACATTTTTTGAGGTGCCTGCCCTGCGCCCTTCGTGTGTTGATCAGTTGCCAGGGAAATGGGCCAAGTTGCTTGTGGGCCTTTGTGTCGTACACGCCACGACTTGGGAAATATTTTTTTTGCGCCAGGCTTGCGTCTTACTTTCTTGGTGGGTAGCCCAACAGCGACTATATTGGTTTTGGTATGGAGAACGTGCTGTACCCCTTCACCACCAGACCCAACCCCGTGCTGCATATTCTCGAACATGAAGGAATGAAGCCGCGAGGGTTGCCCTACGAACAGGAGGCCACGTATGTACAGCAGTAGTTGTCGTTCTGTACCTTATTTAACCCGAAGTCGTCCAATTTCTCTCTTTTTTTAGCCTGAACTTCTTATGTCCCGGGTACCCCCATGCTTAGTGCTCCTACAGTAAATAAATACGTCCTGCCCTGTGTACAGCTCCTACGCTGTAAACGCGTCGCTGTCGCTGTTTGTTGGATCTTTTTGCAGACTTTCGTCACCCCATTTGCCTCGGACGTGGGGTCTTGGACACCTTGCCGTACAGTATTGATGGACTCTCCAGCCGGGATCGCACGGGAGGACGCCACGTATTACATGAGATTTTTTCGTCTTCGTTCTACACACCACAAGTAGTCTGTACCGCATATGCTGTATCAAGGGAGGTACTGTATACATGTACGACCGCCTCACATTTTCGCGTCCTGCATGCCACGTGGTGTATGCGTATGCCTACGTATATCATACTCGAGAATGATGTACAGAAAAACCGCAGATATTGTTCCGAACACAAGAAAACGGTGCCGTTGTGTTCATCACACAATCCACCATCCTGCCAACAGCAGACACCAAGATGCTGCTGGAGGCGTGCAGTGATCTTGCGTCAACATCAACCAAAGCGTGTCTACCGCCGTACCGTCCAGGATGGAAAAGACGCCAAACACGAACCCAACAGCCCTGACTGTCTGTCCGTCTTAATCGCTGTCTCCCCCTCCCTCCCCTCTTGTTGTTCATGCCTGGGGCGGACCATCGTCCTGTCATGACCTCCTGCCTAGGGCTGGTGGTTCACGTTCCCGAACGCGGCACATCTATCTTCGGTCCGTACCGCGTTTACAAAAGCAACGACTCATCCTGTTTTTCGTCATGGCAAGGTACAGCAGCAGCATTTGTTATGCAGTACAATTTGAAGGTAACCTCGCCATCGGGATGGATCTCTTTGGAAACAACTGCGCTGTTCCTGTGGTTCCTGTTGGTCGAAATCAATCGAAACTTGTAAGGTGTGTATGGGCTCCTTTGCCGCCACTGACTTGGGATATATCTCCCCGTGCCATCAGGCCACATATGTATCCGGTCCGAGGTTGATTCCCACGAGATCTTGATCGAAAGGGCCGCACGGGGCAGGTCTGGTGGTTTGGCCAATGTCATGGCGACGAGGACATCGCCAGTTGTCTGGATTTTGGTCGGTATCTAAATGCGCGGGTTTGGCCAATCGCAGGACGTGGCAGCCCATGGAAATATTCTCGTGGCCAATGAGCGTGCTCCGCAGCCTGGTTTAAAATTTGAACTGTACTTTCCGAGGGCTGCAGTCGGGCTCCGTGACGAAGCCCACCCCAAGCCCACCCCACCCAGGTCATTCTCTACCACAACATCGTTCCTACACGAAGCAGAAGACATCCACGCGCATCCACCTCACCCTTCGCCAAGCAGAAGACATCCACGCGCATCCATCACAGCCAAACAAGATGGTTTCCAACAGCGGAGCCCTGGGTTTTCCTAGGATGGGACCGAACCGCGAGATGAAGTTCGCGTTGGAGAAGCACTGGAGGGGGAAGATGGACGAGGCCAGCATGCTCGCTATCGCCCGCGATGTCGAGCAGCAGGCCTGGGGCATTCAGATGGACGCCGGGGTGGGACTCATCTCGGCCGGGGACCACTGCCTGTACGACAACATGCTGGCTTGGTGAGAGAGAGGATGGTACTGCTGCGGTACCATGTACAGTCGGGTAGCCTGCCGTCCTTGCGAATCTTTTGGACCATGTGGTTACCGCTCGTGCATGAACATCGCTCGTGTATGAATCCTGCTGTGTTCCGTCTGTTTCTACAAGATACGACAGGCTGATCCTTACCGCTGATGGCAATGCGCACATTGGGAACAATAAAGTTTCGTCATCTGGATACAGTCGTGCGCCCCAATAGCGCGAGGATGCTCTGGGCCCATCCATCGCACTACCGCGGGCGCCCGCGGGCGCCGGCCTACAGTGCAATCAAAACATTCTGAACGGCTTGGATGTTTCCTGTCTTTGCCAAAGAGATTCCGTTTACACCGGCCGCCGTCCTATCTTCGTAACCGGTTCATGTACGACTGCATAGGATTTTCGAGCTGGGCCGTCGCCATTTCATTGGCGGTTGCGTGTTGGTTGTACTGCAGGATAGTACCCTATGTACCGTAGACCATGGAGTACCACCGCGTTATGTTGACCTGTGCGGGCCGTCTGAATAAGGTTTTTGAGACTTGAGATAAATTGAGCAATGGCATTGGATACTGACTGCACTACATATGTACATCGATCGATCGGTGGACAACCTGCTGCACCCGCGCACATTACTCTCGCTTTGGCAAGGCCAACGGACAGCCCAGCTACGCTACCGAGTGTCCCGGCGCCGTACCCAAAGCTCGGCTACTGTCGAATGACTCATGCAAGACCTCCTCCGAACTACGGCACATGTCCTAATGATGTATTGTCACGACTTGACAGGACCGAATATCTCGGCGCTGTGCCGAAGCGCCATGCTCACCTCGCCCCCGGCAACGAGCGCATGTTCGCCATGGCGAGGGGCATCGACAACGCCCCCGCCCTCGACATGACCAAGTTTTTCGACACGAACTACCACTACGAGGTTCCCGAGCTCGAGACTCCCGTCGCGCTGCAGCCCAACTTTGCGAACTACCTGGTAAGAAGCTAGCTGTACAACCTAGTCTAGGCAGGCACGCAGAGTTGAACAAAGCATCAGTTTCTTTCCCGACTACTGACAAGCTGGCACGCCAAAGCCTGACGACGGACGCGCCATCGGCTGTTTCTGAACAGGCGTGAACACGTTCGACGATGGTTCATTGTGCCCTGAACGCGGCGCCTCAACTTCTTTCTCTCCCTTTGCTCGCCTCGGTGAAAACGTTCACAGGAGACCATCTCCCGAGGAATCGCCAAGATGGGTGCTGACCGGACCGCGCCGGTCGTGCTTGGCCCTGTGACCTGGGTGCACCTGGCCAGGCATGCCAATGCCGAGGCGTCGGAGGAGGCGACGACCGCGCTCAAGGACCAGTACCTTGACGCCATCCTCCCCGTGTACGCGGTGAGCCCCTGGTAGTTTCTGAAGAATTGATTGCTCTCGGGCACCGTGGGTGTTCATGGCGTTGTTTGATCGTCGTCGTCGTCGGGAAACCTTCCCCGTCGTGTCTCGTGACATCTGATCTATGATAGCATCGAGACCTCTCGCCATCGAAACCATGCCTGCCTCGGAGTACGACCTCGTGAAAGGAAACTGTTTCGAGCTACTGTAGTATGGAATGGCAAGGTGGGTTGGTGTGCGTTGTCGTCCCGGCAATCCTCGATGCCCATCTCTGGAATTCCTATTCATTCCCATTGACCCACACACACCGGAATAAAACGCGCACGCTCGACAGGCCTTGATTGGCAAGCTGGCCGCCATGGGCGTGCAAGAGGTTCAGCTGCACGAGCCGGCCCTGGTCATGTGGGATTCTTCCAAGACCCTTGCCGCCATGTTCAAGAAGGCCTACTTCGCCAACAAGGTCGGTTTCTTTTCTTCATTGTTGTTGGTGTTGTTGATGATGATGTTGTTGTTGTTGTGGTGGTGATTGGCGTGGTCGCTAGGCGAAGTAAGGGTCATGCATCGTTTTGGTTCGGCATCGCGGAAGAACGATGTTGTGCAAGGTTCGAAGCGGGTTAGCGCTGTAGTCGGTTGCTTGGTTAGCGGGAGCAAACAACCTTGAACGAGGTTTCAAGAGTGACTCAACGGAGACGGATAGCCGCGTGGAGTGTTTTATTCTGTGGGGTTTCCCTGGACCCTTTCTGTCGTCCGCCATATCTATATGTGGGCATATCACGACCACGACGTATTCAGGCAGGTTATTTAAACCCACCCGTTTTCACAAGCAACACGCGCCCTCAACCCCTCACACCGCTGACCCCCCCCTCCCCTCCCCCCGCCAATGCGACCCTTCTTCACCGTCTTGTCACCTCCTCCAGGCGTGCCCGATGCTATCCGCGGATGTGAAGGTGAACCTCGTGACCTTCTTCGAGGACGTCGGCGCGGAAGCATACCAGTGGGTCACCGCCCTCCCCGTCAGCGCCATCAGCCTGGACTTCACCCGCGGGGACTCCCTCAAGCTCGTAAAGGGCTACGGCTTTCCCAAGGACAAGGTACATCGCTAGTGCTAGCCATTGAAAGTTTGTGAAACGGTGGTTACTCGTAGGGCTTGTAGATGAGCGTTCACGAGTGCGAGGGCATGTTGTCTTCTGGTACATAAGACTCCGATCAAAATATATCAATCGGCAAGAGATTAAGCGCTGGGTTGGGCTTGTTTCCTGGAGACTGGGGGTTGTTACTTGAATAACGTTGGAAATAGGCCCATGAGAAACAAAGCTGTTACGAGAAAAGCGTTGTTTTTTTTCCTGTTGCTGCGGTACAGTAGTCCCTGGATAACCCACGCTTCGATGTCTCCCCAATTTGACGCGAAAGTGATGCCGCTCATCCCCCACAATCCCAATGATTTTACTTTCCGTAATTTCTTGTTCTTGCGCATGCACGAGAAATTCCGCTAGTGACTTTTCTGGCCGTCATGTGTCCATACCTCCCGTCATCCTTCCCGACACCCAACTTGTTGTTGGAAGGACTGCGTCGAGCCACGGGTCAACACTCGTATACGAAGGCTTTGCAGCTCTCTCTCCCTCCAGCCCATCTTGTGGCAATCTTTTTACGTGAGTTCTACGGTCAAGATATGCCAAGCGGAACTCGCCCGCCCATTTATTTGGTTGTGGAACAGGTTCTGGGTGCGGGGATCATCGACGGCCGGTCCCCCTGGGCGATGGAGCCTGCCAAGGTGGTGTCGCTCGTGCGCGAGGTGGCGTCGGCCATCATGCCAGCTAACCCGAACGGTAAGTATCCAATTGTGTTTTCTTGGGGGTACGTGATCGAGAGACTGATGCAACAAAAATCACCGCAAATACGGTCGTGATCCGTGTATGTGTACGTGACGGGTTAGCTTCCGCGTCTCTTGGTGTGTGACGCTGCGGGTTAGCGTTGACTTTATCTTCTCCAAGTAGGCAGTGCCGGCGAAAAACGCACTTTTCTGTCCGTGAAAACAGTATGCACGTTTCAATCGTTCATTCTGGTACGAACTCGATCTGTTCGTCCTGTGACGCACCCTTGATGGTTTCAGATGCCCTCTCTACACCTCGCTGTCGCCGTACATGCGTTCATTGCCACGAAAAGCGTCAGCGTCTCGGTTCTTCGTTCATCGCTCCCGACGACTCAAAGTCAAACATTTTATCCGTGCCTCGCTCGTATCGTCCGTTTCGGGGCTCTCCATGATTGCACGCAGGAAGCGACAACATCCGGGTCCAGGCTTCCTGCAACCTGCAGTTCGTTCCCTGGGATGTGACGTGCGAGGGAGACCTGGCCGAGAAGGTCGGCGGCGACGTGCTCGCCTTCGCCGTGCAGAAGGTGCAGGAGATCGTCGCCCTGGCGGAAGCCGTTCCAAAGATCACGGCCGGAAAGGAGGTACGAGGCAGAACACGTGCACACAATGCGGTTGCTGCTGCGGTAACGGCAGACCTGTGAACGTTCCAAATAACGGTCTCCGTTCAGGAACGTTTTCGACTAGGCCGGCATTGGAGAAGAAGTGCGCTTCTCGCATCAGTTCTTTGTTGCGTTCTTATCGCGCACACGGTCGGACGTCGCTGATGTGTACCTCGGAGTTCGCGGACAGGTTTGGCGATGAGAATCCGTTTTTCAGAGAATGAAGACCGACGTCTCAGGCTTGTTTTCGTACAAGAAAAAAAACGCACTCTGGCCGGGCGGGCCGACGGGCCTACGCTTGAGAGACGGCCTCTACGAATGTAATGCCTCGTTGCTCACATTCTTGTTCGATCTGTTCCCCTGAACGCAGGCAAAGGACATTTTCCCGGTTCTCGACAAGGCGTGGAAGGCTTTCAGCGCGAGCGTCACCGACAACACCAACACCGCCAAGCGCCTCGCCGGTCTGACCGAGGCGTCGTTCTCCAGGCCTGCACCGTTCAAGGAACGCGTCGCGGCGCAGCAGAAGTCCCTGAAGCTCCCCGTCCTGCCCACGACGACGATCGGGTCATTCCCTCAGGCAAGACTCGCAGGATCTTGTCGAAGGAAGCGTTTGAGTGTGAAGCATGACATATGAGGAACGACCACGGCTTGTAACTCCTATTTGGCAGAAATGCCTCGAGCGCTGAGTTTATGTGAACAGAACAGAACGAACGACAGATAGATTAAACAAGTTGAGATGCCTTTTGGCTTGGTCACCACACAAAAAGAGGTACCGCGGTGGCCATGCTTGCTAACAACCTTAGCTGCTGTGCCTTTGCGCTCAAGCCCCACTGATGGAATTGAAGGTGAGGTTATTCACCGGTGTTTTGTCGTGTTGTGGTTTCTGCCCTCATTGTGACCTTGACAGACTGCCGCCGTGCGGAAGCTCCGACGCGAGTTCAAGAGCGGCGCCCTCTCTGCCGAGGACTATGAGCGTGCCATTGACCAGCAGATCTCGTACGCTATCGGCATCCAGGCGAGTCGTGCAGTCAGTTATATTTCACGTTGTGGTTGGTGGCGGTGTCTTCCTCGTCCCTGTATGGTTGTTGGCGTGAAACTGCTTCTTCGCGCCACAAGATTCCACCGCGAGTTTTCGCAACCGGCACAAGAGCGCGTATGATCGCGTCATGACCCGATTTGAAACACCATACACATGCGATAATCGTGAACCGTGCAGGAGGCTCTTGGGCTAGACATCCTAGTCCACGGGGAAGCTGAGCGCACGGACATGGTCGAGTTCTTCGGCCAGCAGTTCCAAGGGTTCGCTTTTACCTCCAATGGATGGGTGCAGGTGGGCAGGGACACCCCGAGTGCTAACTCAACGTCGCCCCCCCCCCCCCCCGCAGTATCTTGTCAACACATACCGCTTCAGCAACGCAATACAAACACCGACTCATTGCGTGTGCGTATTAATTGGGATCAAATTATGTGAAACAGTGTTGCACGATCGTTTTATCGACATTGTAGGCGAGGAGCCGCACGTGGAAACACAACTTGCAGCGCTGCCGTGCCTGAACCTCCTGCTAAGGCCATGCTGGTTTGACTGTCATTTCGCTGTAAACGGTTGCTCCCCCGTCGCTAGTCTCTTCCAACTCTCAATCACATCGTACGCCACACCCGTTTCCCAGTGTTTCTCGACATGAAACAAGCTCCTGGTTTGTTTCAATCGTCATCCCCCTCCGACAGGGATGCGTCACTATCAATTCGAAAACTTTACGGCACCAAACACAATGATGGCCAAACAAACAAACAAAACAAGGAGAATGCTTCGAGATCAAACAAACAAAACAACAAGAATGCTTCGAGATCAATCTTAACACACACTTCTTGCCCGCCCTTTGCGTTTGATTTGCCAGTCGTACGGGAGCCGCTGCGTTCGCCCTCCCATCATCCACGGCGACGTATCCCGTCCTACCGCGATGACCACGAGGGAGTTCAAGGTAGCCCAAGAGCTGACCCTCCGCCCGGTGAAGGGGATGCTTACGGGACCTGTCACTATCCTCAACTGGTCCTTCCCTCGCCTCGACGTCTCTCGCAAGGAGCAGGTGCGGCGAGAGAGCTTCAGGTTTATCACATTGAGTGGCTGTTGTGATCGTTGGGTGTGTCTCTGTCGGTACACCCTGGAGGAATCTAGAAAACAAGTTTTTCCTCTTCACCACATGTCCGGGGTCCGGGGTCCTCGGGGTCTGGTGGGCTATAGAATATGATCCAGATGGAAATCCAAAAGCATCTCTTTGATTCCGTTGCCCAAATCGTTTTTTTTTATTTTATTGGAAATTGATTCGTGCCGTTTGTCCTTGAGTATGTATGCAAAGGGATTGCCCTAAACGTTTGGCCAAGGGTATCTATGGCTAACGTTTGAGCTGAACGTGGTAGCAACTGTAACGCTGGAAAACGAACACGATTCCCCGCGTACCACCTGACAGGCCTTCCAGATCGCGTTGGCCATTTCTGATGAGGTCGCCGACCTAGAGGCTGCCGGCTGCAAGGTCATTCAGGTCGACGAACCAGCCCTCAGGGAGGGGCTGCCTCTCAAGCCCCTCAAGAAAGCCGGTGAGGATCTGACCTTTGGAACAACCATCCGCTTGAGCTTTAACAATGAAGCGCCTGGATTGGGTAATGAAGAGCGCTTCGTTTTTACAGGACTACAGGAAAAGGTTCGACTCTGAATCGAAATAGATTGCTCTGGATCAAAGGCAATACATTTGACTTGGTTCCCCATCCGAACCGAAATGCTCGTCGCTCAACCATCTTGACTCATTCTGGAGGAAGCCGTGGTAGAACCGCTATCACGACCTTCGTTGAGGTACATACCCCACGGGCACCGCTTACATTTCATGGTTTACCCTGTCTATGATTTTCCAATTCTTACGCCAGACTACCTGAAGTGGGCTACGGATTCGTTCCTCCTGTCCACGGCGATCGCCAAGCCGGAGACGTCGATCCACACGCACATGTGCTACTGTGACTTCGGAGACTGCATGGAGGCCATCGACAGGCTCGACGCTGACGTTAATAGTATCGAAAATGGTGCGTCCCGGTCAGAGACGATATACGACTTGCCGCCTACAAGAACCCATTCGTTGGATGAGTGACCGAGGGGTTCTTTAGAGCATTGGGGCTTGGTGTAGAGATTCTAGCGTGGCGCAACAATGCTTGGACCTCTCACTTTCTGGAAGCCAACCAGGGATCACCGACACAGGCCAAACGGTTCCACGGGTAGCCCAATAACCGACATCACGCATTTGGTTCCACTCTCCTTGCTTGGCGGGCGGTGTGTAGTTTGTTCACTCCTGCGAACTGTGCTGAAAATTCCTTCTCCCCGTTCTTCCCCCCCAAATGAAACAGCTCGCAGTGACAACACGACCCTTCAGTCGTTCAAGGAATTCAACTACAAGAAGGGACTGGGCCCTGGGCTGTACGACATCCACTCTCCGGTTGTACCCCCCGTGAGCACCCTGCAGGACAAGCTTGAAGGTACGCAGTGTGTTCAAATCGCAGACCCAGTACTTGTCTGGCTGTAGCGGTATAACCCGACGAAGAGACCGTTCCGGTACCGAAGTAGTTCCAAGGATATGCCATACGGAGCACCGTGCGGTAGCACATGCGCTTGCCTTGGCTTGTTCCTGGTCCGTTGTTCTTGTACACTAATTCACTGTTGATCGCTTGAAGTGTGGATATCGTTTCAGTGACTGTGAGAGGGGCGAGTAGAGTAGCAGTAAGCCCACTAATCTAGTGTACGGTGGCCCGGTTGTTCTGGAGTACTTCACTACATGGGGTTCCCATGAAAACTGGCGAGTATTTGGTGTCTGTATTGAGTACCAATAGGCTCGAGATGATGAAATATTCACTGATGCACCTCCCCGCACGTGTGCCTACTCGTGGCAGGCTTTCTCAAAGTGCTTCCGAAGGAGCAGCTTGTCTGCAACCCGGACTGCGGACTCAAGACACGCACCTGGCCTCAGGTACAAACCACCTTCGCTTGGTTTAACCCAAAATCTTGCCATACGAGCAATATCTGTCGATGTGTGCGCCACCTTGGTACTTTCCCGTGGTCATTGATGCTTCTGAGCTGACGGAATCAGATCGCCACGTTTTGGGCTGTGGTAGTTTGGTAGGGAATTGTAGGAAATAACCTGTCCGAATCCTTGTTGGGAGGTCCTTGTAAAATTTCGCCAGAGTTCCGATTCTAGCCACCTTTTGGTTATCAATCCCCCTCCGTTCCCCACGCGTTCTGCCATGCCATTACACCGAGAAATCTCTGTAGTTGTGAATATATGCCACAATTTAAAAACTTCTTGGGAGTTAGGATTGTTGGCATGAGTACTTCAAGACGACTCTCTTTGTGCTGCCCGGGTAATTATGTTCGTGATCCTACGCTTTCTACAGGTGCTCGGCGCCTTGCGGAACCTGGTCGAGGCAACCCGCAACGTGCGGACCCTCAACGGTATCAGCGACGCGTCCGGACAGGCGGTGACAGTGCCGAGCGGTGGGCACGCCGCCTGCTGCACTCCCGTGGCGGCTCACTAGAGGCCGGTGCGCCCGCCCGCGTGACTATTGACGCGTTGGCAATATTGTTGCTTGCGGACCTAATGGGAAACTGACCATCCAGACAGTATTCTCCCAACGAATCGTAACAAAAGAGAGGCGCATGCACATACAATAATAATCCGATTGTTTAAATTCGGAACGTCGAGAGGATGAGCGCGATATATGATTCGAGTGAATAGAACCTGGCCAACGTAGATCCTCTGACGTAGTGAGAGGGGGTCGGGTTCTTGTAGCGAGCTCATGTGTCCCGTCATCGTATTACCGGCCACCCGTGTGGCGAACACCACGCGGGCCGCTGGTGCCGACTCATTTAGAGGGCAGATAGTTGCGCCTCGGATGCGGTTCTGGGTGCAAGCGTTGTGAGTGAAGTGTTCCGTGGTTCCGAGTGTAGAATTGCCGGCCACCCTTGCGACACCACGTGGGCCGCTGGCGATATGCGGAAAGGGCAGATATAATTTCATTCTAAACGTTTATTTTGAGCTGTAGTATAGCAACGACACGACCGTCCGTAGTGATCCACAGCCTCCTGGTTGGTCTACTTGCTGTGCGCGCATGCAAATATCAAACTTGCCACAAGCACAACTACCACATGCAAGGGCGATCCCTGATTGGGGCCTCTTCATATATGTGCTGAAACGCGAGGTCAGTCCTTTGATGAAGTATTTCATTACCATATCTGTTTCGTCTCCCAAAAAAAAACGGAAGACACGTCGTTTCTCGATGTACTATTCACTACCCGCGCGCGCAGGTTGAGTTGATAGCACCCACGACCTTTCCTCAGGGCTGTCTGTGCCCACTTCGTGGCGGTATCTTCCATTATACTTTAAAACAAAAGCAGCTTCAGCTATTATGCGGTGCCGGCAGCTTTCTCTCACTACTTCCATGAACATTTACATTTTTGAGCAGTGGCCAAAACCTATACCCGGTCCAAACACGGCCATAATCGGGTACCCCTATAAGATGCCGCTGGGAGCGACCACATGCCACCATCTGATTGGCCGATGCCCACCCCTACCGCCTTTCCACCGGGTGCACCCGATCTTGGGTACTCACCTGGAGTACCCAGTTTTTCTTTTCCCAATCTGAAAATTGCTGGGCTGTGCAACCAAAACACATGCACACAAGCATGTCAGGAACGCCCTGCCCTCGAATCCGGAACTTCTGACGGCCTCCGCGGATAAACTCCCGCCGGCGGTTTAAGTCTCCCTAGGGGGAAACGGCTGGCGATCTGTGCAAATTATCGAGAAGAAAGAGCTGGATGAATACCTCCCTCACAAGATGCGACACACACTACACGGGACTCATCTCAAGAATAGACATTTTTCTCTCCCTCCACTACTTCCTGATTGTTGGCGACAAACGAGGGCCAGTGGTGTGTGTCCGACCCGTGGTTGTGTGCATGGGTTTTGGTCGAACAGCCCAGCCATTTTCGGGTTGGGGAAAGAAAACCGGGTACCTCTCCCGGGGTGAGTAGCCAAGATCGGGTGCACCTGGTGGAAAGGCGGTCAAGGTCGGGTAGGGGCGGGCGTCGGCCGATCAAACGGTGGCATGCGGTCGCTTCCAGCAGCATCATGTATGAGTACCCGATTATGGCCGTGTTTGGACCGGGTGTACCCGATTTTGGCCACTGGTGTACATTTTTCATCAGAATGGGCAAAAATGTTGCTCTAAAGCTCCCAATCCGAGTGGAAAGTTCCACATGCACCACAAAACGATGATGACCAGTTATTTTTATGAACCGCACGATACACCTTCAAACTGCGGTGGGACGACGGTGGTATCGGAACGCCATCAGTCATGAAGTACAGCATGTTTGGTTCTTCCTGTTGCTGGAAAATAACTTTTTGGATGATGCAAAAGTACGGCTGCCTACATTGAGGACAACTTCCCTCGACGAGGTGGTTCACTTGTGATGTGTCCTCTCTTTTGTGCTACAACAACCCTTGGCGACTGCCTCTCGTTTTCCGACAAGTCCCGCAAGCTATGGCTGACCTAGCATTGACATGTTTCGTTAGTTGAACCGCCGTCCGTTTCAACATCATTCACTCACTCGAAAAGTCCCTTGGCCATTCGCGAAGTCAGCCGAATGAATTGTTCTTCGACCAGGCGTCCGATTCAACATTCACTCGAAAGTTCCCTCGGCTACCATCAATCGAATTGGGTTAGTTGTGTACGTGCCAAATGTATAAAATGTATGAACTTCATCTTCAATCTCTCCGACTTAAATTCATTGGTGTCGCAGACCCTCATATTCCGATTCCCCCACCCCTGCCTGACCGTGTCTCAAAAACCGATCTTGATCCATGGTGTACGTCTCGCGACATCTCGACTATGCCTCGTTAGGGCATCGCAAATGATGGCCCCTCGCCAAGTTCCATCGATTTTCGCGCCCTCGCCAAGTTCCATTGACCATGCGCGCTGTTTTTCTCTCGTCTTCACCGTTTCGCCGTGTGCCTGTTTTCATCGCTCTTTGGCACATTCCGAAAAAATCGAAGCTCAGGGTCCGCTTGACAGCAAGCAACGGACCGATCTCGACCTACGGCGCACGTCTAGCGATGTATTGACAATGCCGTTGCAGGGTATCGCGCGTCGTGGACCCTCGCCGACTTCCATTACCCTCCGCGCGCAGTATGACATACACCACAATACGAGTGTGCGCCCATAATAGGCGTTTCTCTGGTTCGCCGCCTTACCGTCAACACCAAATTTTTCACTGTTGTATAACTCAACAAATCCATCCCTTCCACAGTCCGCTATAGAGTAGCAATGTAGATTCATATGTTGCATCTGCTCTTTGTCTTCTTGAACAATTTCATAATGTCGGCAAAAATCGAATCTCAACGTCCAACTCGACAATGTTCATCGGAGGTGGGTGGCAGAGAAAATGAAAGTGTGTGCGTGGACCGAGTGAGTTTCCAACGTGAAGTACTGAAGTGCCAAAAAACCATGATACGACGAAAGCTCATTCGGCGAGTCGACGATCAAGCGGGTTGCATGTTGCGCAATAAGTGTGCTACCATGCGCGTTGTCCCGCTTTTTCGGCCCTCTTGATTGACCAGTTCGCCTTCCATCCTCCTGTTCCGATCGATCTTCTTGGCTTCTCGAACAATGTCGGAAAAACTCGAATCTCAGGGTCGACGTGGCAGCAACCACGGCATCGTGTTCATTTCAGAGGCGGTTTCGTATTGAAAATGTGTGCGGGCCGAGTGAGTTACCAGCGCGAACTACAGCAGAGCCAGTAAGTTATGGCGACGACACCGCATGCTAACGCAGATGCACCACCATGCTGCATACGTCAGAAGTGCGCGACCACGTACGACCATGCGCAATAATCACCGGTTCGATCTTTGTTGTTGTCTCTATCGCAATATTTTGACATCTTCTTGAAAATGTTTTGAAAGGCGCATCTCATATAGGCATGCATTCAGATGGATTCGTTCGTTGCGACAGTCTATTGTCAAGAAAATAAAGAAACACCAAGCGGTGTCATCATCGCCAACAACAGCAAAACAATTGTTCGATATTCATTGATGGCATCGTTCATTGCCGTTCGGGGATTAGAAGGTAGTGTGACTGACTGCCTGACTGAGCAAGCCATAAGCCGACTGTATTATATTAGTCGACCACAACAACAAACCGTGACCGGCGAATTCTCTACATGCAGCGCCGCACCGTTTCTCTTTGACAGACAAGAGTGCGCGGTAGATTACAATCAATCGTGTTGTACTTTGACCAACGTAATTTCTAAAGTTGTCCCCCGAGCAGCTGTTTTTTTCCTTTTTAGTTTCCATCCGCCGTCGGGTTGTGATCTGTAAACAACGCAGTAAGCTCAGCCAGCATCAAAGTAGACCCGCAAAAAAAACAAATCAGCTTCAGGCAGGCGACGCCGACGATACTCGTCTCGTTGATTTATCACATTCCTGGTGAATAGTTGTGCCACGACGTCTTTGACGTTCGTGAGGAGCAGAAGATGAATGCGTGGGTACGTGCGTGCGTTGGACCATCAATAATTGACGATTATCGTTATCCGGAACTACCAATGTATCGTTATCACGTGGCAGGAAAATTGCCGACGCTACATATGCAGAGAGCGACTGCTCACAGCCCCCAGCTGCAAGGCGGAGCACCACAGCGGAATTTAGGCTTGCAGAACTAAGAAGCGAAGATAATACCAGTATTATCTGCATACGATAGTCCCCTCGAACCGTCGAATGCAATCTTGGACGAAGCTGGCAAGCACATAATATGTGAAGAAGCTGATGCCGCTACTCGCACGATCTGCGGCAAGTGGGGGTATTTTGTATGGTCTGATGCTCGCATGCTCGCCATGCCTCCAATATCAACTCCCGCGTCTGTGCGGACTTCCGGCGAAGATTAAAGCCTCAAGCAACAGCGATCGTGGGATAGACTCTAGTGCAGGGTCCCACGTGGGATAGACCTGTTGCTGTTATCGTATCGTGTGTACCAAGTACTGGAACACCAATCAATGCTGCTTGATGCCGTTTACATAGTCTACCGTCGTTGTACTTTGGTCAATAAATGTATCGGTCATTTTGCACGTAAGTGCAGACCCACAATATATTTTCTCAACCAAAGGTTTTTTCTCAATGATCAAGATCGCATGTTCACAGGTAAAACTTTGAAAATAGTTGTGTTCGTCTACAGTACGGAACTCCCTCCTAAAAGTATTGTTCGAGACACTATAAGTTTGAAGCATCCCGTACACCTGCGCGAGGGGTTTCGGTCGACGGCACCCCCGAGCTTCGAAAGCCCAGGCCATCTTGGTTTTGATTCAGGAGGAACGGTCGCTCATATGAATTCCTGGTCACGAAGGAAGGTATCGAGATCTGCGAAGGGGGAAATTCGACTGGAGCACCAAGGCCCACACAGTCGCTACATTAGCAACGGTGGGGGACGAGTTGCTACTGTAGCGGCCGTGGGTCTTGATCTCCAGGCGTACCGCCCTCGTCGCGAGATCG